TGCGTCTACATCTGGAACATCGCCTCCGCCTACGGCCTGCAGCAGGTGTGCGAAGCCGCCCGCCGCTTCGTCTTGGAGAACTTTGTGCAGTTCGCCGACACGCCCCTCTTCACCCAGCTGACCCTGGAGCAGATCTCCGCCTTCCTGCAGGAGGACTCGCTGCTGCTGCCGTCAGAGGTCACCGCCTTCCAGGTCAGGAGTCGAGCTTTGAATTGTAAACCTGTAACTGAAAAACCAGGTCGAAATGTGACGCACGGTCACATTACACAGATCCATGAATCACCTGTATGCAAGAATACAGCTTGTTTATTTATGTACGAGTGCATGCATGACAGATTAAAATAGACAAGCAGCTGAGGGGGCCATGATTGTTTTATTTATAAACCAAACCAAATGTTAGTCTGTAAATGTGTTTTTACATACAGTCCAGTTCATACAGTAGTTCAAATTTCTGTAGTTTTAAGATGAAGTCTAAAAGGTTTGGAGGCCGGTCGTTGATGCTGTGTTTCCTGCAGTCACTCTCATGTGACAGCTGGAAATAACTTATTCAGTTTACTCTAGTTTAAACTATTCTTAAGTACTAAACTCGAACATTTCCAGTTTTGCTCGTTCTTTATTTCCACTAAAAGGCAGGTTTGGTCATTTTCTCCAGATCCACTTTTTTAAGATGTTTGGTGTAAATTGTCTTTAGGTCCTGACAGAATTAATAACTCATGTTCTCTGAAAAAAGGAACAAAGAAAATCTGTCATCTGTAGCAGTTTGTAAGCCTTTAAAAACTTCAACCAATGTCTGCCACGAGGTACCAATCTGATGAACCAATCACACGCCTCCCTGTCTCCCTGCTCGTTCTCTAGCTCTTGCGTGCACTAGCCCACACTCAGAGCGCGTCACCGATGACGGAGTTTACTGTGAGTTTGTCGTTGGCCGTTGTGAGTAGTGATCCTTATGCTGATGGTTTAGTTGGTGAGTTTTGTCTTCATCACTGAATACATCTCCTTCTCTCTCCGCAGCTCGCCATGAAGTGGCTCGACTTCGATGACTCTCGTCAGGCTCACGCCGCAGAGCTCCTGTCTCACGTCCGCTTCGAGACGATCCCGGCCAGTGAGCTGGTGAGTCAGATCCAGCCGGTGCCCCGCATGATGATGGACCCTCATTGTCACCGCCTGATGGTGGATGCCATGAACTACCACCTGCTGCCCTACCAGCAGAACACCCTGCAGTCCAGACGCACTCAGGTCCGAGCCGGCCAGCAGACTCTGCTCACCATCGGGGGGCGACCTTCACTCACCGAGAGAGCTCTCAGCAGGGAGGTCAGTACTTCCTGTATCTCTGTACTTCCTTTGAGAGAAACACAACACGATCCCTCTCTGACCTTTAACGTCTTCGTGCGCCAGGTGCTGTGGAGGGACCCTCGTGAGGGTGGAGCCGCCTGGCGTCACCTCACCCAGCTGCCGGCGAAAAGCTTCAACCAGTGCGTGGCGGTGATGGACGGATTCCTGTACGTGGCCGGAGGAGAGGACCAGAACGACGCCCGCAACCAGGCCAAGCACGCCGTCAGCACCCTCAGCAGGTATGAGGAATGACTTTCTTCTTAACACACAGGTAGAGTAAGAAGAGTGGCGCCCAAGTCGGTACCCTGACAAACCAAGAGTGGAGATTTTGTATTTGAAAACGGTACGGCGTCTGTTTTGTCAGCGTTTTAAACCGGGCGTCGGTGGATCCTCACTGTCTGCTCTGCTCTTTTCCTCCACTAGATACGACCCTCGCTTCAACACCTGGCTCCACCTGGCCAGCATGCGCCAACGCCGCACCCACTTCTCTCTGGCGGCCAGTGGCGGCCGTCTGTTCGCTATCGGAGGCCGCAACGTGGAAGGTCTGCTCGCCACCACCGAGAGCTACCTGCCCTCCTCCAACACCTGGCAGATGCGCTCTCCCATGGAGGTGCCCCGCTGCTGCCACTCCAGCGCCACCCTGCCCTCCGGAGACGTCCTGGTGACCGGCGGCTACATCAACTGCGCCTACTCGCGCTCTGTGGCACGCTACAAGGTGGAGACCGACACGTGGATTGAGTGCGCCTCCCTGGAGACGCCCCGCGGCTGGCACTGCTCCGCCACCCTCGGAGGGAAGGTGTACGTGGTGGGAGGAAGCCAGCTGGGGCCTGGCGGCGAGAGGGTGGATGTGGTCTCCGTGGAGGTCTTCTCCCCGGAGAGCGGCACATGGAGCCGAGCCGCCCCTCTGCGCCTCGGCGTGAGCACCGCCGGTTTGTCCCCGCTGAACGACAAGCTGTACCTGCTGGGAGGCTGGAACGAGGCGGAGAAGCGCTACAAGGCGGCCGTGCAGAAGTACGACCCTGCCACCGACAGCTGGGCCATGGCTGAGGATCTGCCTGAGCCCACGGTGGGAGTGTCCTGCTGCACCCTGACCCTACCGCCTCGCCACGCGCCGCGCCGCCAGCAGCACCGCAACACCCCCGCCCACGAGGACCAGCAGTCAAAGAACCGCAGCAGAGAAAGCAGCATGGCGCCTTCACAGAGCGTCACAGCGTAGAGAGACAGAAACGAAGCGAGGAGGAAGAGTTGAACCTCTGGAGAACATCTGGGTCATGTCCGCTCCTTTCGATGTTTTTATCTGAGTTCATTCATCTTTTTCAAACTGAAATGTTTAATTATTCAAGCTGTAAGAAAAGAATTCATCCTAAAAAAAAAAAAAATTCACAGAATTAAGATTCTTTGCTCTTTTACATCAGAGCTGAAATATAATTAAGATTGAAGACAGTGAATTTCATTTGACAAAACTGTCCCATAGTTCAAAGATTTACAGATTTTACATGAACCTTGAATGGATCTGGAAAGTGATTATGTGGTTTCTAAAATGTCTGCTCAACCTAAGTTTAATACGATGACTGAAACAGCTAAATTAAAAATTATTGAAGAGTATGTTGGGCAGGGAACAGTTAAAAAAAAAAAAAGAGAGAGTTAATGTGGTCCAAAGTGGTCTCAGGAGGTTTTAAATCAATGGAACAACAAAGGTGGAAAAGGTGTGAACGGCTTGACTTGTAGCGTGGAGCAGGTGGAGGTAGAGAGGCGATGGATGGAGGAGGACGGAGGATCTGTGCTGGAGCGGGTTTGGGTTGAACAAAAACAAAATCACTGTGAATCCACTGGCAGTTTGTGTACAAAGATGTATCTATGCAGAGAGAGAGTGTGTGTCTGTGTGTGTCTGTGTGTGAGAGTGTGTGAGAGTGTGTGTGTGTGTAAGCCAGGAGTAAATGAAAACGAGTCAGAAACTGCGATTATCAAACATTATCAACAGCTAATATTTCCAAAGGATAGAAGCAGACTAGAAGCGATAAACAAGACGTGTTTATTGTTTTAATTTATTTAACCGGTGTCGAGTAGCGTCGCTAAACTAAAAAAAAAAAAAAAATGTGTAGATGTAGTCCTTAAATATTTTTTATGATGTGGAAAACGAGGAAGACGATGTGAAGTCAACACAGCGCAGGTGAGATTTAAGAGCGAAAATATGAAAATATATAAAGATCAAGAAAACCAGAAAGACTGAAATAAAACATCTTGTCAAATCTATTTTTAAAATGTGGAAAACCAGAAAAATCAAGATCGAAATCAATGATTTGAAAAATGAATCTAAAAATACTAGGAAACAAAATGTTACCGCTCTCCTGCGTTTGTGTGTCTGAACATTTGTCTCCTCTGACGTCTAATTTTTACTGAAACTGAGACAAAAATCAACTGAAGAGCCGGTGAGACTCCCAGCAGGCGAAGAGAAAGAAAACTGCCATCAGCTGTTGAGAGTTTAAAAAATCGATATATTTTAATCACGAGATTCGATGAGGATAATCTGGCTCGTTTGATTGGCTGAATCCCCTCTTAGTTTGTCTCCTTCTTGGCGCTAGATGAGCTCTCTCTCTGTGTGCTGGTGGCGTCTGTGGAGTTTCACTGAATAAAGCCAATATGTTCAAAACGACTTTTTGTTTTTATTCCCTTTTGGTAGGAGATGTGCTGCTGGGAAATGTAGTTTGACACCAAAACTGAAGTAATGTAGGCTTGAGCATTAAAGGTCACTTTCTCCTCTTCAATCAGTCTTTTTTTGGGGCTTTTTTATGCCTTGATTAAAGAAAAGGGACAGTGGACAGAGTCAGAGAGAGAGAGGGTAGAATGTGGGGAAAAAAGCCACAGTTCAGATTTGAAACAGGAGGACCGCCTGGAGGACCACAGCCTCCGTACATGGTCAGTGCTGAATATTAGAGGGAATAACCTTCTGACATGGGAGCTAAGAAGAAGTGTACCCAAAGTGGAGTAAGAAGTCCAGCATTTTCCTTTGACATGCAGTTAAAAATATAAAGTTGTGTATGACACAGTCCACCCCCAATCCCGCAACCACCACCGCCCTCATTAATGCACGGTCTGCTCCGACCTTCATCTCAGGTCGGAGCGTAGCCGGAAACGTGGGTCACTACTTGTTCAGTTTGTAGTGTGTCCTGAGGCGAGACCTGGTTTAGAGACTTTCACATGGTGTTGCCAAGTTCAGGGTATTGAAAAGAGCCTGCTCACTCCACAAGTAGAGCATCAAGTTAAATAGTGTCGTCAAACTGTAGTTAAAGAATTGAGAAAGGCGTTTCTTCTCCCGCTATAATTCAGAGCCTTTTTTAACACGTTCTCCAGAATCATCCCACATCATTCAATAATCCAGATTTGAGTTCCATTTCATCAAGGACTGATCTGTGATAACCTCATGAAACCTGATTCTTGGTCTAAAACAGTGAGAGGATAAAATCTGTAAATATCAGTCGCTGACATGAACAAAGCAGGACACCACCGTCCCCCTGTGGATAAAACAGATCCTACAAGCAGCAGGTCAAACTAAGGACACTCATGCTGTGGTTTGTTCAGTACAACAATTATTACCTGACGAGTAAACGATAAGCTCATATCAAGTCACATTCTACACAAACCTCAGGAACAACATGAGACGATTTGAGTCATTTTTTGGGATTTTATTTTGTTTGTTACAAACAGGATCAGAGGAGGTCCTTTACTTTCCGGGGAGGATGATACCGTCATACTGAAGGAAGAAAAAACAAAACAAGAGGAAAGCATTAGAAAACAATCATTTCATTAGTCGACATCAAACACGAACTGATTGTTAGAGTAATAAAGGAGACAGAAGCAGCGACTGAGCCACAGATTTCAGAATAAATCCCCAAAGTCATTTTTAAACGACCGGACGAGTTGTAGAAACAAACATTCACTTCCAAATTAACCCAACATGACCCAGTTCTTCCTTTTCTTGGGCATTTAAATAAGCACATAGATACCCGATCATAAACGTCCTCAAACTGAAAGGAAGCCTCTTCAAGGATCAAGACATCCGGCCCCATTCAGTTTGGTGAAGCCCAACCCCACCCGTCTTTCGCCCCTTTAATAACCGCCTGGTTTCCCACATTTTAAAGCTTCTCTACAATCACAGGTTCGCTCAGGTGATGTACAACCTCTGACAAACACTCACTTTCTGCTGGAACCAGCGCATGGCCTCCTCTTTGCGGATGCGGTGCCTGAAACCGATGCGGCCTGTTTTCCGCTTCTTGTCGGCGATGCTGAAGCCGGGTCTGCCCAGAACCTGAGCGACAAAGAGAGGACAGAGCCGGTCAGCGCTTCAACATTAAACATGTTTATGCATACACATGGACACTCAAAGTATCAATTCAGACATATTTTAAAGTATATAAAACATATTTACTCTGGCAACTTGTCTCTGAGCTGATATTTATTATAATTTGTGGTCCTGTCCTTCAATGGTTTTGCATCAAATAACAAAAGCACACAAACCAAATGAAATCCAAACCACACTAAAGCAGATTGTGATCAGTATCCGTTGCTGGACTCTGAACTTCAGGAGTGAATGTAGTCAGAAACTTCAGGACTCTGTCACCCGATTATTGTTTACCCTCTAAAACCTTAAAACATTTTCAAATCCGAGAGGTTTTCAATCAATCTTTCAAAAAACTTCTCAAGAAGCAGAGCAGGTTTTCTGGCACAACTTCACCAACTATCAAGGTTCACAGAGAGGTCAAAAAGCTCCAGCAGGACTTCTTTAAAGAGTTGAAAGATCAACTTCATGAAATTAAAATTGATCTTCAAACTATAACTGTTGGGAGTTTTTTGACCTTTAAAAAAAAAAAAAAGTGACAAAGAAAATCAGCTGCTTCAGTTTTTGTAACATCAAATGACAAACAATCACGACCGCCGCATCACATTCATCCTTGAAAGAAAACCAGAAACCCTTTATCTGCATGGGCAAACTTTTTTACTGTGTGAATAAAAAGATCACCAATAACGTCAACCTGTCAGGCGACGTGAATAAGATCTTAATCTGACCTTCAAAATGTGATTTTCCCTCAATAACCTCCAGTAGAAGTTTTCAACCAAAGTTTACAAATGACTAATCACAGAAAGAAAATGTTAAATTTTCACTTAAAACATATAATAATTTCACATTTAAAACCTTACTTTAAACAAAACCAACAGTTTCAGTGCCCGAAGACAGAAACCGTCTGAGATCAAATAAAAACTAAAAATCAGTAAATCAGAACATTTTACAAAGCGTCCTGGCTGTACAAAGTCTTCCACTTAAACAACTGTTTTTCATCTTGACTGACGGCACACACCACCAAACGAGTCACCTCCAGCCAGCTCACTCACCACGTAGAAGTCCAGTCCGTAGATGCCGATGCTGGGGTCGTACTTGATGCCCAGATCGATGTGCTCCTGGATACCGAAGCCGAAGTTCCCGGTATCTGAGAAGTTGTTCTTTCTCAACTCGTACTCGCGCACCTAGAGGCCGGAGCAGCGGAGAGGAGGCGTTTTTACCAAGACAGCGATTACTCTCTTCATAACATCATGTTATAACTCTGGGTACTGAGGAGAAGTGAAACAGTGTTTGATCACTCTTGTCTGACCTTGAGTCCTTTCTCCAGGATCTCCTCAGCCTTGGCTCCACGGACGGTGCAGTGGACAGCAATCTTTTCATTTCTGCGGATACCGAATGATCGCACAGTGTAGCGGGCTGCAGGTGGAGGAGAGAAAACCATGTTAGTCCAACACAGATTTAAGGTCACCTTAAAATACATCTCAACGCCACGTTTTAAGACGATACAGTCTTTTTTTTTTTTTTGTGTAAATGGTCGATAGTTTGGAAGCCTTAAAATAACTCCAGATCTTTAAGTCATATTTTAACCTAAAGCTGCTGCGAGCCAAACAGAGAGCAGCGATAACCTTTTCCAACTCACAAGGGGCCAAATTCAAACATTCCTAAAATCTATTTGTTGTCTCACAAAGCTGCAAAAGTTGTTCATGTCTCCTTCAAACGGAGAAGAGGAAGTGACTTCATCTAAAATGCTCAGATTATCGACTACCTTGTTAGGTTAGATTTGTAAATGTGAATTGTGCTCTATTCTTTTAACCGCTTTAGTTTGTGGGTTAGGGTCATCAGTGGCAGGTCGATGTAAGAGGCGCTTTCAGGGGACGCACACCTAACTGCGCTTATTGATGACACACACGCCGCGTCGATCTATCACAGTAATCACCGCAGCTGCAGAAAAACATCAACAACGGCATCGCAAGAAGCTAACATTTTTCACAGGAGACATCACACCTTGACGTGTTCATTTACTTGCTTGACACTTTTGGTACTCAAATTTAAGACTCCAAAATTAGGTGCCTGACACTTTTATGTTTGTTGCCATGGTTATCAGGTTAAAGGGTACTGATATCATTTACATGATGACATACACTGCCTGCCCAAAAAAAAAAAAAGATCACACACTTTCGTTTCGTTTGATTACGGCACGCATTCGCTGTGGCATTGTTTCGATAAGCTTCTGCAACATCACAAGATTCATTTTTCACTAAGATCTTGTATCGATGATGGGAGAGTTGGTCCACTGCGCAAGTCTTCTCCAGCAACATCCCAAAGATTCTCAATGGGGTTAATGTCTGGACTCTGTGGTGGACAATCCATGTGTGAAAGTGACGTCTCATGCACCCTGAACCACTCGTTCACAATTTGAGCCCGATGAATCCTGATGAATCATCTTGGAATATGCCCGTGCCATCAGGGAAGAAGAAATCCATTGGTGGCATAACCAGGTCATTCAGTATATTCAGGTAGAGCTGACCACATAATGTTGCTGAACCTAGACCTGACCAACCCCAGATCACAGCACTGCCCCCCCACAGGCTTGCACAGTAGGCATGACGGGTGCATCACTTCATCTGCCTCTCTTCTAACCCTGATCACTCTGGAACAGGGGAAATCTTCCTTCCAATTTTTAATAACGCATTGGACAGTTATTAACCCAATTTTAGTCGTTTCTACAATCTCCTTAGATGTTTTCTCTGCTTGACGCATGCCAACGATTTGACCGAAACAGACTTAACATCTTTTCCAACGACCACAGGATGGGTCTTTCAACATAGAAGTTTAAGAAATGAGAAGCCACTCATTGCACCAGTTGTGGTTAAATAACTGAAAGAGAATCCCCCAATGGGAGACTCTTACCTATTCGCTTAGTTAAATCCAGGTGGCAGTGTATAAATCTCTGCTTAGCCAATAACAATCTCCACAGGATCAACCAAGTTAACTGTGTGTAACCCTGAACACACACACACACACACACACTCACCCTTGGAGAAGACGGGGGTCTGCCCCGTGAGCTGCTCCAGCACCTTGGCGGCTCGGGTCAGCCTGTCTCCGCTCTCACCGACGCAGATGTTCAGGCAGAGCTTGCGGATGCGAAGCTCTCTCATGGGGTTCTCCTTCTTCTCACCCTGGTCCTGAGGGTCACACATGTTAACAGCTTAAACATCCAACAGTAACAACAACAACAACAAAAAAAAGAAAAGAAGAAGACATCGGGCACATGACGCGGACAACTGCATGTGTGACACCTTTGTGAACTGCTGCTACCTCATTAGATTTACCTACAAGCAACACACCTGCAAACAGGACAGGGTAAGAAACACTTAATTAAAAAGGTGTTCACCAACAAACCGAGCTTATTTTCCCACATTAATTTAAGTGAATCTTTAAGTTTTAAAGCTGTTTCACAAACTTCTCTCTCTCTCTCTGATCAACACATGCCGGCCGGACATGTCTGTGCATATCCCTGTCGTTAGCATCAAGGCACAAGCACATCGCGAAATTCACACATTAAACATAATTATTAAACATCAGATAAAGTCAGGACGAGTCGACTTTTAAAAAGTCAGGACGAGTCGACTTTTAAAAACTGAGGCGTCCGCTTTCAACCGTGACTTCGTCGAGCTTATTTTTCCACATTAATTTAAGTGAATCTTTAAGTTTTAAAGCTGTTTTACAAACTTCTCTCTCTCTCTCTGATCAACACATGCCGGCCGGACATGTCTGTGCATATCCCTGTCGTTAGCATCAAGGCACAAGCACATCGCGAAATTCACACATTAAACATAATTATTAAACATCAGATAAAGTCAGGACGAGTCGACTTTTAAAACTTGAGGCGTCCGCTTTCAAACGTGACTTCGTAATTATCCCCATGTTGGATCACTAGAAGAGGACGTTACGCTTCCGGTGAAAAGTATTTATAGCAGAGTGTTCACTCTAAAAGCGTTCGGTGAAAGATGACGGAGACGACGCGATAGTTCCGTTTTACGCAAATTGGTGAAATAGTCAAGATTCAAGATTTTTATTTGTCACCTGCTCATGCTATGGAAGCCCATTTCCGCCAGTAAAAAAAATAAAAATGAAAATAATAAAGTCTCATAATCTTTTTTATCTCATTATTTTGACTTTTCTCATTATTATGACTTTAAATCTCATAATCTTGACTTTTTATCTCATTATTATGACTTTTTATCTCATTATTATGACTTTCTATCTCATAATCTTGACTTTTTATCTCATTATTATGACTTTATATCTCATAATTTCGACTTTTTATCACATTATTATGACTTTATGTCTCATAATTTTGACTTTTTATCTCATTATTATGACTTTCTATCTCATAATCTTGACTTTTTATCTCATTATTATGACTTTATATCTCATAATTTTGACTTTTTATCTCATTATTATGACTTTCTATCTCATAATCTTGACTTTTTATCTCATTATTATGACTTTATATCTCAATTTCGACTTTTTATCTCTTAATTTTGACTTTTTATCTCATTATTATGACTTTCTATCTCATAATCTTGACTTTTTATCTCATTATTATGACTTTCTATCTCATAATTTCGACTTTTTATCACATTATTATGACTTTATATCTTATAATTTTGACTTTTTATCTCATTATTATGACTTTATATCTCATAATCTTGACTTTATATCTCATTATTATGACTTTCTATCTCATAATTTTGACTTTTTATCTCATTATTATGACTTCTTATCTCATTATTATGACTTTATATCTCAATTTCGACTTTTTATCTCTTAATTTTGACTTTTTATCTCATTATTATGACTTTTTATCTCATTATTATGACTTTTTATCTCATTATTATGACTTTACATCTCATAATTTCGACTTATTATGACTTTATTATTTTCATTTTTATTTTTTTAACTGGCGGAAATGGGCTTCCATATCATATAGATGTGCAGTGAAATGTAAATACTGTTCCGCAAGGCCATGCAATAACACTCAATTACTAATACACATGTATACAGTAAAATAGAATATAATGTCAAATTTAAAAAATAATTATTTGAATGTACAAAATATAAAATATAGAATAATGTAAACAGTGTAAAGTGTCCAGGGTGTCAAAGTGCAATGTGCCGATTGGAATGTGTGTGCATCATGTAATCAATACATGTAAATATCAAATTATAAATACCCTAAATACAGTATATTGAATAATTATTTTATCGCCTGGAAGGATATTGTTAAATTCGATTAGATATAGATTGAGTAACATAAATGTCAACAAAATATATATATAAATATAGGCTACATTGTATTATTATTTTATTTGTTTCATTTGTTCACAAGCACAGCAGTGAATAACAACACGATACCATAAATAAAAAAACACCACACAATACAAAATAATAATACATTTTTAAATAAAAGGGGACAACATAAAATATAAGATTTGCCTAACCCAGGGGTTCTCAAACTTGTCAGCTTCTGACCCCCAGAATAAGGGTGCCAGAGACTGGGGACCCCCTCCCTGGAGGTGGTTAAGGCGTATATGGTAGTGCACAGCCTCGCACACACAGGCCTACAGTAATTTATTGAAAGAAAGGCTAGTAGCACATCACAAATAATTTCCATACATAGACTAAGGCAATGAGCGGACGTACAAAACTTAATAAATAGTATCAGATCGTTCAGTAATGATACATAAATCTGCAATCGTACAGTTTGCGTCAGGCTTTAGCTTAACCAAGTAGCAACCTCTGATGTTGGAAAAGTGAATCCAATGCAGAAGTGCAAAAACCTGCAGTCCCTCGAGTGTCCACTCCAGGCTGACTGCAAAAAGCTCAGAAGTTACAAACACACCATGATGTTAAAGTGCTCATTTTTTACAACAGAATTCAACATCTTTACGGACTGGTCTTTGAAACTTGAATCTGGGGAGGGGGTTATAACTCATCCTTTTAGATTTACTGAAGGATCAAAGTTTTTCATAGTAAGTGACGTGGCTGATCTGACTGACAGACCGTTTGTCAGGAGGCTTAAGGCCCGCCTCAGCTCCACCTCTTTGTTTCCAATATGGCAACCACCATCAATGGGCTTCAGAAACCAAAAGGTGACGTCACTGAGATCACGTCCATTTTTTTTATACAGCCTATGAGCTTAACTATTGGAGAGATTATTACTTACATCAAATTGAATCAAATATGTGGATTATACTTGTAAGATTTTCACTTTTTCATTCACTTTTTAGCAACTAAAAAATCTGGAAATTATTATAATTCATCAAATTCCATGTTTACATGACATTTCAAAACTACATTACAATCGCTTAAAGACGGATAATAAAAAGATGGAAATCAGTGATCATGTGATTAGGTTGTTTGAAGTTTGACTGAAAAATAGTGAACTTTCTGTATTGGTGAGAATTGAGTTTTACTTTTCTGCAGCTCACACTGAAAATGCTGATTGTCCCAAAGCAGTTTTCTTTAACTCTGCTTAAGAGTCACCTCTCACTGATGTTTATGTTGATATAGGATGTTGCCTTGAGGCCCTTTAAGCATATTATCTCTGGATAAAGGCTTGTTCTATATCACGGTTACTAAGCAATCATGGCTTTAAATACTGTAGACAGTATGTTGATGTGTCAAATATATTGTAAAATCATGAAAAGAAAAAACTGTGTGAACTATGTAGGATCTTGCTGTTTATGCCCAAATTATTATTACTATTATTTGTTTTAGTCTATGTTCTGTCATGCTGTCTTGTCTCCTTTTTTGTATGTTGCTGTTGTTTTGTTTTTTATACTGTCAGTATTATTAAGATTAAGATTAAGATTAAGATTTACTTTTATTGATCCCGCGAGGGGAAATTCTGTTTTTACACTCTGTAAATCATGCAACACACACATAGGCTGAAATACACACACACACACACACACACACACACACACACACACACACACACACACACATGCACAAACAGGATCCTATGAACATGCACTAATGGAGAGATGTCAGAGTGATGGAGCGGCCCCCGGCAGGCACTCCTGAGCTGGTGGTGGGGAGGGGGTTTGGTGCCTTGCTCAAGGGCACCTCGGCAGTGCTCAGGAAGCGATATGGCACCTCTCCAGCTACCAGAGCAACTTCCATATTTGGTCCATATTTATGTCTATATGTTTGTCTTTTTGTGTGTGTGTGTGTGTGTGTGTGTGTGTGTGTGTGTGTGTTACTTTGTTACTAAATGAAAATGAAAATAAAAATATTGGTTAAAAACATAAAAATACTGTAGACAGACATGTTTCCTGAATAACTGGGAGGGACACAGTTTTAAATGCTAAGTGAGTCAGAGGTTCACTATAAATGACTAAATCATGCTTTCATTGAAGGAACAGAATCAAGAAAAGACATGTCCTCATTTTGCAGGTTTACATTTTTATTATTTTGCCTCCAACCTAGTTATTAAAATAGTTATCTCCCAAGAGAAACAAGCCTTCTTTTCCTGCGGAAACTTTTGCGATGGACTTTAATCAGCATCGAAAAGAAGACAGTGTTGAGGTGGAGAGGGGACGGCTGCAGACATGTGACTTCTTTTTCCATCTTCTGAACACGAAGTCATTTTTTATTGGCCTTTACTGCCGCCTTGGTGACTTTTCCAGCGGTATCACTCTTACAGACTGACTTAATGACACCCACAGCCACGGTCTGTCTCATGTCGCGCACAGCAAAACGCCCTGAAAGGAAGAGACAGAAACAGAGGAGTCCATAAGAGGCTGAGCAAGTGGGACTGGGAAACTGCTGAGAGGGAAATCTGAAACACGTGGCTTTGGTGTGTTGATGTAATAAAATGTTTAACCATTAAAAGCTTTAAATCTGAACTAATGTGTTTGCAGGTTCATTCTTAACTAGATGGAAAAATGATGTTTGTTTGAAGGTTTTTTAATCATTTTCCATGGTTTTCCCTCAGAAGACTGACTCTGTTGACAAATCATTACAGTACGTTGAACCAAGCTGTACACATTTGAACTCCTGCTGTTAGGAGCTGTTGTTCCGACTCAGCAGGCGTTCATGAACATTTTCCAACCTGGAAACTCTTTGAATGTGACAGTCACATTTGTGCATGAAAAGTGCCCAAAGAGAGAAGTAAGAGATGTGGTGTACAGCATGTATACTAATGCAGGAGATGATGGATAAAACACATTTTACTCACCCAGTGGAGGATAATCGGCGAAGGCCTCGACACACAAGGGTTTGGAAGGGACCATATTGACCATGGCAGCGTCTCCAGATTTAATATGCTTTGGGTTGTCCTCAATCTTCTTGCCAGAACGACGGTCCACCTTCTCGATGAGCTCATGAAACTTGCAGGCAATGTGAGCGGTGTGGCAATCAAGCACAGGGGCGTAACCTGCATGGATCTCTCCAGGGTGGTTCAGGACGATGACCTAAAAAAGGTGGCATGACAATAATTCCTAATGATTTCATTGTTTGTGTGATTTTAAATGTGATATCACAGGTAATGACAATGGTCACAAGGGTTTAGCTTTTTCATAGATTTTGGATTCTGCATGAAGGAGCTAAATGTTGCTACCTGTGTCCACTAGTTGGTGCAAGAGAGCACACACAAAAAGCCCACAGCATTGTGTTGCTATACATCAAATGTAGAGCACACAGGGAAGATATGTTATTTACATGTTAGCCCCCCTAAACGTGGCACTGGAATAATCCTCAAACAATATGGCCCCTCCATTTTTTGGGGGGTGAAAATGTCTGAACTCTGGCAGTTTGCTGAAAACCTGAAAGCGGCACATAACATCAACTGTCTCCATCATCGTTTTTTATTGACCCTTGTTAGGGATGCACCAATGCATCGGTTTGCATTACATCGGTATCAGCTGATATCGACTCTGTTGACAGACATCAGCCCACCGGCAAGTAAATTGGCTTGAACCAATGTCAGTAGCTGATGTTTTTATTAAATGCTGGCGAGCTAGTTTACCTATACCTGCTTATTTAGAGAATGTTTTTTTAATGGGCAGAGGGAGTCACCTGTTGGTCATAGTCTGATCTGTTTTCATGGTCAAACAAGAGAGAAAATGGTACCAGTGATCATGTTCTTGATGAAGTCCCTGTTTCCAGGGGCATCAATGATAGTCATGTAGTATTTTTGTAGTAATTTCTCTCTTTTCAATCTTCTTCTCTCCTTTATGATTCACGCTCACCTGGGCAATGAAGTCCTTGGTTCCCTTTGGTGGGTTGTTCTTGGAGTCACCGGCAACGTTTCCTCTGCGAATATCCTTGATGGACACGTTCTTCACGTTGAAGCCTACGTTGTCGCCGGGCAGAGCCTCGATCAGAGCCTCGTGGTGCATCTCCACAGACTTCACCTCAGTGGTAAGGTTACAGGGAGCGAAGGTGACGATGGTACCAGGCTTTAGGATACCAGTCTCAACACGACCGACGGGTACAGTTCCAATACCTAAGAGACAAAGCAGAAATGAAACAGAGTTTTTTAGATATTGATTGGCACAAAAATCTGCAGACAGACATGCACACACACACACTGCCAAGACAGTGACTGACCACTCCCAGGACTGGTCCATTTATCAGTATCATGAGTCAGCAGCAGGTCTTAGACCACAGTGCTACATGCTATCATTTCAACTCACCATGTTTCTTTCAGAAAAAAGCAGCTGCTGCTTCAATACTTTTTGTGCTCTTTACTTTCACTTTGATAATTTGTGACCGAGTTCTGGGTGGTTGTAGAGATATAAGATATATGCATGGCAGCTACATGAAAACTAAATGTTGGGGTGCTATGATGATCTGCTACAGTCAATGAGGTGAAGTTACAGGATCTGATACTCCTTACCTCCAATTTTGTAGACATCCTGCAGTGGCAGACGCAGGGGCTTGTCGGTTGGGCGTTTTGGGGTCAAGATGGAATCAAGAGCGTTGAACAAAGTTTTTCCGGTGGCATCACCTTCTTTACGCTCAATGCTCCATCCCTTGAACCAGGGCATCTAAGAAAAGATTCAAAGTTTGATTAGAAATGTTTCATTAGAAATGTACCATACCAAATCCAATAAGTTAGTGGATTTACAGTTGGCAAATCTGTCTCACCTTCGCACTGGGCTCCAGCATGTTGTCTCCGTGCCATCCAGAGATGGGGACAAAGGCAACAGCTTTCGGGTTGTAGCCGACCTTCTTGATGTAGGTGCTCAATTCCTTAGTGATTTCCTCGAAACGGCTCTCACAGTAAGGGGGCTCTGTGGAGTCCATCTTGTTGACTCCAATGATGAGCTGCTTCACACCGAGGGTGAAGGCCAGCAGGGCGTGCTCACGGGTCTGACCATTTTTGGAGATACCGGCCTCAAACTCACCGACACCGGCAGCAACGATCAGCACAGCGCAGTCAGCCTGAACAGGGAGAAATATTCTTTAACTTTGCATAAATGTATGTTTTTTGTTGCAGCGAATATGCCAGTTGTTGCTCTTTCAATGTTTTTTTTAAAACAAAAAATGTAGGAATACAAGCAGCAACAGCAGCAGCTTGTGGTACAATGGTCAAAACCTGAGAGTGAAAAGTTAGCAGTGAACAGATTAAAGAAGTGCATCTTTACCTGAGAGGTACCGGTGATCATGTTCTTGATGAAGTCCCTGTGTCCAGGGGCATCAATGATGGTCACGTAGAATTTTTCCGTCTCAAACTTCCACAGAGCGATGTCGATGGTGATACCACGCTCACGCTCGGCTTTCAGTTTGTCCAGCACCCAGGCGTACTTGAAGGAACTCTTGCCCATCTGTCACAATAAAGGCAACACAAAAAGGTCAAGATTAGATAGGGACTAAAAGACAGTTTTAATAAAGTCAGTATTTGAATTACAAAATAAATGTTTTGAGTTAATGTAAAACTAGCTTAGATTTACTTTACTTAATTTTGTATGGGGATTAACAAAGCATTTTTTTTTAAAGAGGACATATTATATCCCTTTTCTACCTTTTCAAACAGTCCCCTGTGGTCTAAATGAAACATCTGTGCTGTTTTCGTCACATGTTATATTTTGTCAAAATATAACATGAATCAAGCACCAGAGGAGGTTTGTGACCCTGTATAAACTAGTGTTCAAAAAAACTGTTAACGTGGATTTTTCACAATATGTCCCCTTCAAATGTATATTTTTGGATTGCTATGCCTTTATTTGGAGTTAGGAAAGCAAATTAAGTCAAAAATTGGGGAGAGAGAGAGTGTATGGAATGACATGTGGGAAAGGAGCCACAGGTCAGGTGGATTCAAACCCTGGCCGTCTGCTTGGATGAGTATGTGTTGTAATTGTGTTGTATTGCATACGATGACAATAAGTGTCTTACGTCTTTTGTATTCACAAACATACTTATATAACTCATATCCTGTCTTACATCCAGGTTTCCATTTGTTAAAATCCTTGACGATATTCATGTTTTATTAATATTTACCTTACCCTTTCATTTGTTGATAATGTAACTAAATATTTAGAAGAAATGTTGTATGATGTACTTAATAAGGGTGATACACATTATTCACCACAAGGTGGCAGTTTCAACAAGGTAAAAAATTGGGAGTGTCTGCTGGCCACACCTGTTTTCAAGTGAGTGTCTCAGTGCCTCAAGGTGTTAAAGTATTTGTTTAAAAAAATCCAATGTAGGCGTCTTGGGACACCTTAACCAACCTCGGCGGCTTCCTTCTCGAACTTCTCGATGGTTCTCTTGTCGATTCCTCCACATTTGTAGATCAAATGTCCGGTGGTGGTGGACTTGCCGGAGTCGACGTGGCCAATGACCACGATGTTGATGTGGATCTTTTCCTTTCCCATTTTGATTTACTGGGAATTAAAAACACAAGAACAGTTAAGTGACTTTTTATTTTTTAAAGATTTATTTTTCGTGCCTTTAATGCAGAGAGAGGACAGTGGATAGAGTCGGAAACCAGGGAGAGAGAGTGGGGAATGACATGCGGAAAGGGGCCACGGGTGGAAGCGAACCCGGGCCTACCTAAATGTCAGCTGTTTATTTCTCTTGAAAGAAAATACAAGCTAAGTGTATTGTATGTATCAGTTTGCGATTAGTTAACATTAGCCGGAGTTAGCTAGCTGTCCACGTGGTCTCGGATCAGCATGCCGGTTGTTACATAATGTAACTTCTTATTAATTCCAACCGATCAGGTCACCTTAAACTTTCAAAACCTTTAAAGAAATAGTAACACTTCCAAAATGTAAGTCAGTGAAACTTAAACTCAAGTTAATGAATGTTATAAGTAACAAAATATCGTTTCAAACTCAATTGTTCGACAATAATTGCTCCTGTCAGAGTTGTATAATGGGCCTTTTATTGGATGGACGTTATCCACACCCAATGCATTTTGTATCCTCGCCACATGTACACGCTTTTCTTTGAAATGCAGTACAATCCAAAAGTTTAAAAAAAAAAGAAAAAATACACCATATTTCACTCTAAATGTTGAGAAGTTGGACTGTATATTGGCATTAAAAGGAAAAAAAATTAAAACCATAAAAATATACCTACACACAGTTTCTGAGTATATTAACTTCTCATCTACCACATGCTATGGAAAGACAGCTGTTCAATTATCAAACCAATTTAAGTGTTTGATGTAAGAACGAAATCCAACATCGCTGGTTTAACCTCAGCTGCTGCCAATTGGTGGAAGCCTTGGCGATCATTGGACACCATGATAATGTATTAATTAGAGTTAAATACAGGTCAATATAAAACTATTCCCCCTGATAGAAACCATTATAGGTATCACTTTAAAAAAAGCACATTACTTCAGGATGTGTTTTTTTTTGGTGGTATTTGAGGAGAGTTAACTCACCTGGATGGAAGGCAATGTGGAGCTGGTGGTGGATGTCCTGTCTTCTCCTGCTCGGTCTGCAACGTCCTGTATCACAATTTTCTTAAAAAGGGATCTCCGGGTGACGCCCTTTTGTAACCTATCATCCTGTTTTTCTGGCTCTTGTTTGATCCTGCGAACAACTAAAGAAAATATGCTCTTTGCACAATCCCCGCCTTGCATGACTATAACACAGCCTCAGCTGTGCATAATTAAACACACCAGAGCATACCTGAGGAACTAGCTGTTGGTTCCAGTTTGGACATACCTCACACCTGAGTTTTGCTGCTTCGTCTTATCTACCTGAAGTTTCTCTTCTGAAAAACCAATGCAGGCATAAAACAAGTGATTCATAGAGAACCAAGTTTCAGAAATAAACCGTTTTCATCTACTGATGATCCGTACGCTTTGACCTTTTGAAAAGCTGTAACTGAGACTGAGTAATGAGATTTCGTAATGAAGCACAGAAGAGTCATCTTCATCTAGCCATATTTAACATTTTTATTGATCTGGTTTAAAGTTGATTATGATCGTACATTTCGCTACAAGAGTTTTAAAGAAGATGGCGCTGGGTGGCAGAGGGGGAGGGGCCAATATGGTTACACCGTTGCCTCTGCTGTGACGTGTTAAATTCAAATTACATACTAGGCCGGCTAGTTCTGCTTGTTTGTTCTTCTCCAGGACATTTTACAGGACACACTAAATGTTTCTCCACAGCCTCACCTCTACATGGAGTGTGTCTTCTAAAAAAACAAAAGAAACAATAAGAAACCTTTCACATCAAAAATATAAGCCACCTATGACGCTTGGTTTCACAATGTTCAGCAACCAAAACAATATACTTACTTTACTCGAGTTACCAACAAAGTTGCCAAGATAATCAGCCTCCCAAATCCTAGCTGGCGAGAACAAAAGTGAATGACATTAATCACCCACTGAACTAATTTCTCACACTTCTTCCATCTGGCCAAAGACACAGGGTCATGAACTGGAAAAAGGCTCGTTGGAGGAGAAATGTTGTTTAGACTCAATGGAGGGTTTATTGGGAAAACATTTCAAGTAGCACAGCACTCATTATGACCTTCATAACCATTAAAATGTTCACTTTTTGGGTACTTTCTTCTTTTTTTTAGAAATAGAGTGTATGATTAATCTCTATAGTTGAATCTTGTAGATAATGCTGCTGTTATGTTGTGTGTTTTAATGCAAACTATATAAAGGGCAAAGCAGATGTCACTGAGAAAACAACGGAAGGTTCCTTTAATGTATTGTGAGGCATTTCCTGTAATGATCTGTAAAAGATCAACAGAGATGTGTCCTCAGAATACAATTCATCACAATGTGCCACAAAGTCCATGGGTTTGAGCCTAGGGGCTTCAATGTAAACTCAGTCATGGGAACATCAGTACTTCGGTTCTGATATGAGAGCTGAACCTGTTGGCAAAACAAACACTGTGTGTATTGGATGTATCTGCTGCCACAGTGCCAGAAATACAGGTCAGATGAGTTTTTAATGTGACTTTAAGAACACAGACGTTTGAAGGATTCAGACAATCATGACATATGTACTTTGATTCTTGCAGAAAGTGTGAAACTAACAATTGTTGGAAGGGCCTGTGTGCTGGAATTTCTAAACAGGGTCACAAGATGTGCCATGTGATTATTGCAGGAAATAAGAAAAAAAAACTCAACTCAATTGAATTAAAAAAAAAAAAAAAAAAAATTCCTTACTTTCCATTTGTTTGCAAAATACTTTTTTCTTTCATATGGCCCCTAAGAATCTTCAAATGAAATGATTTAAGTGTTAAAAAATGTCTCACAGCTGACAAACGTTATGAATGAGATGTTGCAATCATCACAAGGAGAAGTATGCAAAACCAACGGTGGTGCAATGCTTTGTGGATACTCCACCCACAAAAAGAAAGAAAGTGGAAAATAATTGCTCACATTAGTGTTATTAAAACAGGTTGAGTGAGCAGACATCACTCTTTTTGATAAGTTTCGACAAAGAAGAGACACACAAAAGACACACACACACGCACACGCACACACACACACACACACACACACACACACACACACACACACACACACACACACACACACTCACACTGGCTAACTTGTAATTCAGATAATGATTATAGTAAGACACAACATTACCTAAATTCACTGAAACCCAGCTACTTATATTATAACACTGTTATAATGCTGAGAGAAACATGAAAACTCTAAATCAGGGAACACATGATGTGTTATTGGCCTGTGACAAGTATATACACAATTTTTACATGAGTCAGCATTAAGACCAAAGACTTCAGAGAAAAATGTCACAAACATTTTATGTATAAAATATTGATATGTAGTGATAAATAAAGAAAAGCTGACACACAGAAGCTCAATCTATCTGTAAGAAAGATACGAGTTGATGGATTAGAAATACTAAAAATGTGTTTTTCCTTAACTATAATAAAAATAGAATTATTCTTAGTGTTGTTTCATTAGAAAAAGAGGGGGTGGATGAATGGTGAGACTTGACAGCAACAATCAAGGCAGCCAGACCGTTCACGTAGAGTTTGTCCGAGAACAGCTCGATCAGTTTATCATGACAGCTCTGGGATCTCAGAAAATCTTCTGGAGTCTTCCCTGGACACAAGGTGCCGGTAACTTGTTTGAAGAGAGGAGGTGTCGTCTCCTTTACCGCAGCAGTCAAGCGTAGTGTGGAAAGCATCCAGCACTTTTGATGGCTGCGTCTTTACTGGGAGACCCTAAGACGTCCACAGCCTTGATGTACGCGGCGTTGTAGAAGTTGATCAGTTCTTTGGAGATCGTGTCCCTGTTCATGAAACCCCAGATGGCTGCGGCCGCTTCGCAAGCAAAGAGAATCACCAAAAAGAAGAAGAACGTTCCCAAGAGGCACAGAGACCCCTGTATGGCACCATAACAACCGAGGAAGCCCACGAGCATCATCACAGCGCCAACAGCTATCAGTATGTACACACTGATATAGAAGGTTCCTGGTGCCTGGTGGCCTTCAAACTGCAGAATAAGGAGGTTGCTGGTTTGACTGTCATTGCGGAGGTACAAGGTCACACCCAAGATTACAATGGCGAGGTTGTGTTCTGATCCACAGGCAATCTGCGCCGCTCCATGGAGTGCTTTAACCTCTGTGGGCAGGCAAGCCTTCTTGTTTGGACCTCAAGCTGAAGGACCCACTGACTCCTGCTCAGGGTTCTGAATGGGTGACGCTTTTTGGCCAAGCTGTCCATAATCTCCTCTGCCCTATGTGAACACTCTCCCAGTCTCTGTTTGAGCAACGATATGGGTCCAGCCACTCCACACATGGACAACTTTTTCTCCACCCAGAAGTGAACGCTTCATGGGAGAGGGAGAGGACAGGAAAGGCTCTGTGCTGGTCAGCTGGCCATGTTTGTTGCTTCCCCAAAGAAAAACATCACCGTCTCCTGTGAGGCACACACAATGCACTGACCCTGCTGACACCATGTGTGTCTTCTGATCCAGACCTGGTACTACAGAGGGCACTGTGGAGTTAAGGTGTGATGGGACAGGATGTGGACTCAGGGCTCTCTTGAGCGTGACTGCAAAGACCACGATCCCACTGATATACACAGCCTGAGTCAGAAGCAGCCAATGAATGTCTGAGTCACCGCTGACTCCTTCAGACTCTCAACAACCAGAGGTTCTGAAGAATGTTTGACTGTCTCTCCGACACCCAGTTGTCCAAATGCATTGGAGCCACATGCAAACACTTGACCACCAATGTAAATATCCAACCTTGTCATTCGTCCACCCATCCATCCGTCCATCCATACCCTATATACTCTCTTTTTGGTGTTATATGGTATGTTTTTATATGCTTTATGTTGTTCTTTTATGTCAAATGTTATCAGTTGACTCCCAGTGTAACCAATCAGAATCACTGAATATGAATATCCTATTTGGGATGATAAAGCT